TATTACTAGCATTGGAGACAAGGATAATAGTTTGTTTGAAAGAGAAAAGAACAGGCTTTGAAGTAAGCCTAAAAGCGTTTAACTAGAAATAGTATTTCGAAAGTTATTAAGCACAAGAGATGAATTGCGTTTATTTTGATACACCCTGTTGTTTAAAATTGAACAGATACACCCCGTATGCTATGACATTTTCAAAAAGCAGTAAATGACAATGCCGAAAACTTCAACGTCCTTCGAAACTACTTGTCAAACTTTGAAAAACAAAATTTGTGAGGAAAAACCCTTGCGCCCGCGAAAATTTCACCCAGCAACGACAAAAGTCTCCTTTGTTCTGCAGACAATAAATTTAGTAGAACTCGACGACAAAGCCAGTCGAAACATGTATATACGTGCATGAAACTCGGTAAACTCCAAAGCGTTTATAACGAGCTCCGATTTTATGTTCATATGACTTCACCCTGTGCAAACATTTTGAAATTTCGCCTATTCATATTTCAACAGTATGTTGAGCAATTCGATGAGATGATGTCATTGCTTCACTAAGCCAAAAAATCATTGTCTTTTAAGTCTGCATAAACGTGAGCAAAAACACAGAACAAGGATTATAGGCGAGTTTCCAGGCCATATCTTGACTGATGTAGGATAACTGAGAAACAGGTGAAGTTTATACATATCAGTTTAACTTCAATATGTATATTTAACAATGTAGTGTAGTTAGTGTGAAGAAAGGTAAAGAGACGATGGGACCAAGCCATTCTACAACACAGACACCGGGTATCTCTGTTTTAGGCCGAAACATTACTTTTCACTCAGAAACTTGGATTCGTAAAATTTTGTTTTGGAAATAAGGCGGCGTGTCACTCGAGGATTTACTGTATTAATAGTCGAATAATTTATTCCATGTGTTCACTGTTTTATGTGTCCCCTTGTTGAGGCAAAAGTTTCTAAAGGGAAGACATTTCCTTCAACCACGTTGTTTGCACCGTCTAACATGGCCACCATGCATGACGTCACAAAAACAACACTCTTACTATATACGCGATATTTAAGGGAAGGTTTTGGGAGTTGTATTCAATGGCCAAATGAAGAAATTGCAATTGACGTTTACATAAGACAAAAAGAAAGTTTTCTCAATTTGTTTTTTTTTGTGTACGTTCTTCCCATTCTGCATGTTCTTGGTGATGGTACATATGTGATGACGTGAGTGCTTAAGCAGTCAATTATTTTAGTCAACGCGGATGTTGCGCATACAAAATCGTCCATTCTTTTTTGAATCCTGATGCTACATCGTGTGAACAGTGCAAAGAATTGTGAAATGTTAATTCACTATATAAATAGATCATTTACCGTCGTACGCAAATATAATTGTATGCTTGAATAAAAGGGTTTTTTTCAAGTCCAATGTTCTGACGTGATTCCCTCAAAAGCTCCTTGGCCTTGGAAACAATGGATGCTTATACGCTCAAGAAAAATTAAAGCGCCTATGTCGTGCTGTCATGGAATTTGCATTTTTTCGATTATTCGGGTTTTAAGAACTTTTGTGGTGTATTATATATTTCAAAATTCAACTTTTTGGTCCTCAAAGTTAGGGACCATGACATGGCAATTTAATCTTTTCTAACTTAATGTGGCTCCCCACAGTTAGATCAGTTAAAAAAACGATTTATTTAGATCGGACGTTATCCTCGCGACCCGCGCGTGAAATGTTCATGGCTCTGTAAAAATATTGAAACAAGCAGCGGGACGTTTTTCTGGCGTTTTTATTTGTGGTAGTAGTAGATTTATTCAGCCTCCCCTTAGGGCTTTTCAGGTTTAAATTACAATATTACGTCTTGAAATTTACAATATCAAAAGCAAATAGCTATTATAAGTTATTACATATATTAAAATGTTAAAAGTACATTATAAGGACCATGTACATCATAAAATCTAAAAATAAGTTCCTTTCAAAGTTGAAATGTTTGAAAACTTTTCCTGAAGACGTTTCTTCACTGCTTCCTTAAATTGGGGTGAAGATTTTTAACTGTCTCTCCTGTTCTTCATGCGAATTCCAAAGTTTACACGCTCTAACTATAAAAGTGCGTTCAGTTTTTTTTTATATACGACATTTAGGCGGTCTCAATTCGTCCTTGCTTCTTGTATTATAAGCTTTATTCTTAATCCTACAAGAGGATAGATATTCCGGTTCAAGATTATTGATACACTTGTAAGTCATCACTGCCTCTCTTAGATAGATTATCACGGGGATAGGAGTCCAGGATAAATTATGCAATGTAGGTGTAATATGACAGAATTTGGGTTCTCCAGTAATTATTCGGGCAGCAAAGTTTTGAATATGTTGTAGCTTTTGGATGTTCGGCCTACTTGAAGACCATACTGTCGAGCAATAGAGTCGTTTACTCAAAACGAGTGACTGAGTTACAAGTTCTAACATTGCTTTATCAAGTACGTGTTTAACTCGACGTATTTGAAACAGCTTAAAATGGCATGATGATACAGTTTCATTTATGTGAAGGAATAAGATAAGGATTGATCTAAAGTGATTCCCAAATCTTAACATGACCAGCAGGTTTAAGAATTTTGTCAACGAATGTGTAATCGTTCCATGTTTCGCGCACCAATATAGTAAACGTTATGTAATGGATATTATAGTGTACTGAAAAGTTAACTGGATACCTCCATACACATATATACACACCCTAACCTTAAACCTAACCCCTAACCTAACCCTAACCTAATACCTAACCCCTAACCCTAAACTATATTGGTGCGCGAAACATGGAACGATAACCAACGAATGGAAGTTCAACGTTTAATGGGACTTGGCGCAAAAGTTGATTGACACCAAACAAGATAAACTGAGTTTTATCTGGATTTATTTAGAGTTGGTTTGTACTACACCATCCCGTAACTTTATTCAAGTCCTCCTTCAATCTAACAAGACCATCATTCAGTTCTTTCAATAGGAAAAAGAGACAGAGTTTAGTATCGTCGACGTAGGATTTAACAGATGCATTAGTGGTTACGGAGCAAAGTTCATTAGTGTAGATATTAAACAAGAGAGGGCCCAAAATAGAGCCCTGGGGTACTCTGTATTTCACTGGAAGAGGCTCGGTCAGATCAGATTCTATTCTCACTTGTTGCGCCACTCCCTGTCGGAAAGGTAACTTATGAACCAATCCAACGTAATCCCTGAGACACCAATACTTTTAAGTTTAGCCACCAAAAGAGAATGGCTAATACTATCGTAGGCTTTACTGAGATCTAACGAGATCATAGCTGTAATTTCTTTGCGGTCCATACCATTATAAAGTACATCATCAGTTACTTAGAGGCCCAATGTCTCAGTTGAATGATGTCGTTTATTACCGTTCTGATGGGTTGACAAAAGCTAGTTATTAATACAATAATAGTTGCATGGTTTGTGAACTGTTGATCTACAACGCGCTCGCAAATCTTAGAAAATATCGGTAGGAATGAAATGGGGCGGTTGTTACTGGCGGGTTCCACTTCGTCGGTTTTAGGGATGGGTATAACCTCCGCTATCTTCCAAGCTTTAGGAAATATGCCTTGAGTTAAGCTAGAGTTAATAATGTCAGTGATAGGAGGCAGAGAAAACGCTAGGTATTCATTGTAATCCTAAATTTTTCAGAAAAGACAGCGTATTCACTATAATCGGTGTATTTTTTATGAAATACGAGCAAAGTTATTTTCTTGTGAGAACTGCATAATTTTAATTTGAAATCATTTTGTTTCAAAATTACAAAGTTTATCGATAAAAAGTAGCTTAGTCTCGTCTATGTTGTTGAACTTCACATTAAATTGAAGCTTATATTACGCATAATAGCATACCTAACATATATTTCCTAGCAAAGCGAGGGATTTCTCCATCCATGTATTTCTAGTTTAAAAATTGCTTCACTCCTCGGTTTTGTGGCATGAAAACCAGAGCGGGCCAGATGAAGAAAAAAAACCCAACCCGCTCTGAAAGCCTTCTCAGCCAATCAGATTGCTTTATTTTCAGCGATAGAAATAAATGTATGTTAATTGTACACGGTTCCAAGGTAGAAACAGAATATATGTGAACTGCACGGGACTTCGTGTGGTAACTCTCGGTGGCGGTTCGACGATAATTTCAATTTCTGTCATTAACAATTTGAATGTGGATGTAAAAACAAATGAATTACTTTTTACCTGTAGTTATTATACATCATATATTTACTTGTTATTAGTGTGCTTGACAAAGAACCTAACTGTTTTTAGGTATTAGTGTGAGGTATTTGTTGAAAAATATTGCCCATTGATAATTTCAATTCATTCGAGGGCGCCGTCAGGGGGGGAGCGAAGGGGTTCGGACGCACCCACCACAGTGTTGTGGGAACAGATATGAGGGCAAGCTACCTGTAAAATTATTTCCTCATGTTGTCATTGTTCATGGAGAAAAATTATTCATTATTGGTAGACATACCCAGGAAGAAGAAAGGAGAGTATCCGATGGCATTTATGAAGTGCGGCTGACCCCACCTTATACTTCGAAGATACTGGCAAGAAGCAATTCGCAGATCATTCTTGTCGAACCCGCCTATAAGTATGACCATGTTACCCCAAGTCACATTGGGGTAACATCATCATACTCCATAGGCCGAGGTAACGGTGCACAATGGCTTGAGCTCATTCTTTGACTAAATCGTATGCAACAACGCTGTACGTCAATTGCATCTTTACTAAGGCCTGTTGTCGTTCCCCACAGGATAAATTGTTTACCAGTAACCATCCCTGCTAGTATTATTTAAATGATGTCGTGTATGACGCTCAACTCAGTGAAACGTTACACAATGGGAAGCGACCAGTGGAGCTGCATGTAAATGTATTTGCTCATGTTGTTGTCATTGTTCATGGAGAAAAATATTCATTATTGGTGGACATAACCCAGAAAGAAGAAAGGAAAGTATCAGATGCCATTTATGAAGTCTGGCTAACCCCACCTTCTGGCCAATCACTTCAAGCTGCTGGCAAGAATGCCTGAACGAAGTCATAGAGCAGAGCTTAAATGAAGACGAAATTACAGATCATTCTGATCGGACCTGCCTATAACAATGATCATGTTACCCCAAGTCACGGTGCGATAACATGGTCATTGTACATAGGCCGGGGTAACGGTGCACAGGACCTGAACTCATTCTTGACCAAATCATATGCAACAACGCTGTAGGTCAATGGCATCTTTACTAAAGTCTGTTGTCGTTCATCCCTAGATAAATAGTGTACCAGTAACAACCCCTGCCAGTATTATTTAAATGATGTCATGTATGACGCTCAACTCAGTGGAACGTTACACAATGGGAAGCGACCAGTGGAGCTGCCTGTAAATGTATTTGCTCATGTTGTCATTGTTCATGGAGAAAAAATTCATTATTGGTGGACATACCCAGAAAGAAGAAAGTGAAGTATCAGATGCCATTTATGAAGTCTGGCTAACCCCACCTTCTGGCTAATCACTGCAAGCTGCTGGCAAGAATGCCTGAACGAAGAAGTCATAGAGCAGAGCTTAAATGAAAACGAAATTACAGATCATTCTGATCGGACCTGCCTATAACAATGATCATGTTACCCCAAGTCACGGTGGGATAACATGATCATTGTACATAGGCCGGGGTAACGGTGCACAGGACTTGAACTCATTCTTGACCAAATCATATGAAACACCGCTGTAGGTCAATGGCATCTTTACTAAAGTCTGTTGTCGTTCCTCCCTAGATAAATAGTGTACCAGTAACAATCTCTGCCAGTATTATTTTAATGCGGTCATGTATGACGCTCAACTCAGTGGAACGTTACACAATGGGAAGCGACCAGTGGAGCTGCCTGTAAAGGTATTTGCTCATGTTGTCATTGTACATGGAGAAGAATATTCATTATTGGATTATTGGTGGACATACCCAGAAAGAAGAAAGGTAAGTATCCGATGCCATTATGAAGTCTTGCTAACCCCACCTTATACTTCCAAGTTGCTGACAAGGATGCCTGAACGATGAAGAGATCACAGCGCAGATTAAACGAAGACGAAATCACAGATCATTCTCGTCGGACCTGCCTATAACAATGATCATGTTACCCCAAGTCACAGTGAGATAACATGGTCATTGTGGATAGGCCGGGATAACGCTGCACAGGACTTGAACTTGTTCATGACCAAATCATATGCAACAACGATGTAGGCCAATGGCATCTTTACTAAAGCCTGATGCGAAGACCACTCAATCAGTCAATCATAATATAAACACGCGGGTCTTGACTCGCTTCAAGAAAAAGATAGGCAGTTTATCTGAAGGTAGCGTTGCAGTTATATTTCAATGGGCACACGTCGCTACTCGTGATTTCGCCATGTTTGATGCCAATGAATTTGACGACGGACTGGGCACGAGCGGGATAATCATAAAGTCAATATTCCCGCTCAAGCATGGCATTCTGGGGAAAAAGACTCCGGGTACGAGTAAAGCCGTGGCATGGTATTTGCTCAAAAACACTATGGTCTAGTTCTTTGATTAGACAAGCTTACTGTAAGGTATAAGATGACAGAACATGCATAATTTTTATCATTTATAGACCCGGAGCGAGAGTGATTCGGCGAAATATTACCCCGAAGTGATGATATTTCCAGAGGAAAATATCACTGAGGGTAATATTTCGACGAATCCCCCGAGCGGAGGGTGTATAAATTATATATTATGCCGAAAGTCAAAGAACCCACTAAGCTCAGAATAAACTTTTAAAATTTGCTGAATATTAACTAAGCGAATACAATTTTTAATTTCTTATTTTCTTTATTTTCCTATCTTCTTACATAAGTTATGTATACCTGAGTTTTTGATGTTTTCTCTTTAAAATATTTGAGCATGTATCCTCTGCATTATTGAAGGTATAACATACATCTTGAAAATCTTTCGAGATTACAAATAACAGCCCGCTAACGCCATATTGTTTCAGAGCGTGGTGTCCACACGTGACCGTGAGATACTATAATATCCCACGGTGGATCTATACCTGCATTGCGAAATCATGAATTTGAATGAACTACCGTAAAAAATCACATGTCATGGTGGTGCAAATGCTGTTTTTTGATGGGGCAATTTGAATTTGAATTTGAGGTATAGTTTTTTTTCTTTATCTTACCTAAGGCTAAGACTCCCATAAATCATAATTCAACTCTGACGCTCTTTTGACAACGCCAAATCACAGATTTTCACGTCTTGATACAACGGCTGCATTTCAAGGCGCAACAAGTGCAACTTCAAACTGATTTCAGCAGAACTCTTCCCAAACATCGCAAGGTCTTTAATAATCCCAATAGAACTGCATGACATAATTTTTGAACTAGCATATTTTGTCTTCTGCGTAAAGCTAAATGAAGAAAGGTATACACTACACATTTTATTATTTAAATCGAGTTAAACGTGCGGAACACATGTGCATGGACCGAGAAGGAAAATACACAAAACACCACACGCACTATATGCATGCACTTAGTATACAAAATTTCACGGTAACGTGTACTTTCCAGTCCCTGTGAAAATCAAACGAAAAAAACCATACGCCTGTAGAAGTCCAATTACCTATCTCTAAAATATGTAGGACAATGTCTAAATTATTCATATATTGTTATTCAATTATTTTCAATGATTTATTGTATTGGTAGCCGTTGCCGTCCTAAATCGTAAGGTCTCTATTCTTGGGTTTCACTACGGCATTATGCAGTGAATCTGACGGGGTGGGGGGGGGGGTCAATCTCAAATGTGTTGATGCTTATATTTGCCACCGAACCAGGGTTGGCAAATGTTGTTAGTGGAAACGTCATCCAATAAGAAGCGCGTATTTGAGAGTTAATCACTATTTAACTACAAAATAGTGATTAAAAAATAGGTACGCGACCGCGTACATGTATCTGCGATTCGACAACGCGACGCGATTTTTCGATTTTCACTGA